AAGGCAGAGCCAGGAGCATGAGGCTGAAACTGGCCCAGTAGATGTTCCTCGCTCTGGGAATATCTCTCTGCCTTGCTGAGGACGTGGCTGTCCCCTAAAAGAGGGCTTTAGCTGACTTGATGTACAGCCTGTGCTGCCAGGGCTGGAGCGGTGAGCAAGGCTAACGCCAGGGTCTGGCAGTCTGTGCCCTCGTCTGTACTTACCCCATGGGAGACTTTGTGTAGCAGCTTCCCAGGAGAAGGAGGAAGGAGGGTCACACCTGCGTGCTTTGCAGCACGATTTTAATGAATTCAGGTTTCTCTGCAATGAGGAGTCCTGGCGGGTTTGAGGTTCGTTCCCTCCAGCCTGCTCTAAAAGGCAGCAAAGAAACGGAGCTGGCAGTTCAGCTTTCCAGCCCATGCATTCCTGTGCCCTCTTACAACCTAGGAGAGGGCCCTGAGCTCTAGGAAGTGCTTGCATGCAAAATTGTCCCGTGTTCAGCGAGTTCCCTTGTCCGTGGCACTGCGACGCCCGGAGGTGTGAGGGCAGGTGGTCAGGAAAGGGCACTATCATCTGCTGAGGTTCCTGACTTGGTTCGCCCATGCCCCTGCAGACGATGGTGCTAGCAAGTGGAGGCCAGGACGGTGCCATCTGCCTTTGGGATGTGCTGACAGGGAGCAAAGTCAGTCACATGTACGCCCACCGAGGGGACGTCACTTCCCTCACCTGCACAACGTCCTGCGTGATCAGCAGCGGCTTGGACGACGTGATCAGCATCTGGGACCGAAGCTCGGGGATCAAGCTCTATTCTATCCAGCAGGTGAGTGAGTAGCCAGGGAGCAGGCAGGAAAAGCTCTGTCTGTGAGGGTGCTCCTGTGCTGCCCTGGGCCCCCCAAACCCCCTGCAGGGCTTGTGCTCTCAAGGGATTTCTCTTTGATTTCACTCACTTTGGAAGACGTCCCTGTTTGTAAACCCGAACGGGCAAGAGCTCAGAAAAGACCAGAGCGGTCGCTAGGCCAGACCTCCCTTGTCCAGCCTCCCGTGTTCTGGCTGAGGCATGGTGGGCCGGCTCCCAGCACGTATGCGTGTGCAGGGCCCTCCCGTTGGGCAGAGCTGCCAGAGGGCTGCGGGCTAAACGGCCTCCTCCCCGAGCCGGCGCGGGCTGGACCTCGCTGCGTGCTGGGCCTTCCTCGCGGAGGCGTTGCCTGCCCG